CACACCCACACCCACACCCACATCCACACCCACCCCCACACCCACACCCCCACACCCACCCCCATCTCTCTCATGCTCACACCCATACTCACACTCATTCTCACGCTCACACCCACACGCCCACACTCCCGCATTCCCCCATCCAAAGTCCCAGATTCCCGCGCACAAACTCCTGCGAACACGCACACACACAGACAGAGGTTTGCATGCTGGTGTATCCAGGCGGTCATCCGCAAGCGAGCCAAGTTTGCTTGGATCTCGGTTCTTGTCATGCTAGGCCAGGCCACATACGTCCGCAGTGTGGCGCGGAAAGATGCCACCCAAATTCCACGTACCGAGACGAGGTGAAGGAGGAGCGTATCTCGCGAGAAAAATCCCAGAATGTGGCAGAGGAGCTGGCCATAGCCTTAGTCATATCAGTGCCTCGACCCTACGTCCTAAAGCTCCTGAAGCTCCTGAACCTCAAGCGGCTTTCGCGTCTGTGCGAGGTTTCAGTGATGCGTGGACCCAACTTGCCTGGTGTGCAGCTGAGTATGGAATAGTGCTTGGGATGGCAACTCCGGGTGAGCTTTCGAGAGGCAGGACCTTCAAGGGAGGATTTCTGACCGCACCCCACCTGGGGACGCCATCGCGTCTGATCGTGCTGGAGGACGGTAGCCGTGATTCTGGGCTCTTTACTAGCATTCAACACAGCGGTTCTGTCTGTCAGGATCCGCCAGCTGGCGTGGAAGCACTTTCAGAAACCGAGCAGGCCAGCCACCCTGCTTGCTCGAGACAGCTTGCACTGACGGCACGGGACAGGTGGAGCAGGGACGCCCGGAACCCTTCCCCTGCAAGGCCAAGGGATTCTGGCTTGAGTTGCTTGCAGCTAGCTGCATTCCGTCGCCGTCTCTTCAGGCAGTTTTCAACCCCCAGCTGCGCCCGACGTCCAACGCAACCTCTGTGTACTGGGAGAGAGACCCCAGCGTCCCAGGCATCGGCGAAGGATGTGTAAAGTGCCTGTGAGCTGCTGCTTCAGAAGAAGAGCTTGTTATTCTCGGCACCACAGTTGCTATTCATGAAAGTTATCAGTATTACGACTCTGGTGTTGCTATGTTAAGTATCGGAAGATCCGAGCCGAGCAGGCTATCGGGCCCTGGTTGAGCGGTACAACGAAGTTCAAGTCTCAGGCCGGGATTCCAGAAGCCCCTGATCTCTCTTCGAAGCATCAGCCCCAAGCCCAAACTCCAAAAAAAAAACCTCAAAGGCCCACCCCTCCCCCCTCCCCAAGTCTTCGAGAATTCGCGCCTTGGCTGGCGGTGGAGGCTTTGACCCTTCGGGAAGCGCCGTGGACTTCGTCGCTCGGGGCTGGCAAGCACGGCTCTTTCAGCAGGCCGGGGCTCATGCAGCCGGGTGCTGTTTCTGTTTCGGACAGCCGGGTTTCAGCGAGGGCGCGTGAGTCAGCGTTCGCAGTGTCGTATTTCTGGGAACGTGGAGCTGTGGGAGCGTGTTTTGGCAGTGAGAAGATGTTTGCCAGGCTGCGGACGTCCTGGACGGCAGCATTTTCATTGACCGCTGCATCATGCGATCCCTTTGTCACCTCGATGCTCGCCGGGGACTCGTGTTTCAGCAGCGCCCTGTCGTGATGTTCAGACATCTTTCAGCAATCGAAGTTTGCACATGTGCCATTATGAACGCGGACTGCATGTTTCATGTGGTTATGCTCGAAAGGCAAGGACAGTTCTTGCCCCGTTGTATCCTTTGTCAGATTGTTCCCTTGTAGTGATTAATGGCATGGCAATGGCGGTCAGCTCCTACAATCTCGGGTACGTGGTCTATATTCAACTGACTGCGGAAGTTGCCGCCAGCATTTCCCTCGCAGCTTGGACGGCTGGACATGGTAGATTTCGGTGGCTGTGGAATACACTTCAAAATTTCAATACATCGATAGTTTGGGGCAGGGATGGGAGATGACAGAGACATAGTGTAGGAGTGCTTTTCATGGTCTGCCGCTGCTACAGCAACACCTAACATCGCCTAACGATATTTCTGACCATCCGTGCCTTGTTAATCTGCGTGGTAGTTCAGAACAAGGTATCATATGCGAGGGTATTCTCCACATTTGGCGAAATCCGATCGCTGAATGTTCAACGATGCAGAGTGGACGGCACCGTAACTTGGATGTCTTAGTCACGAGCCTTTTTCTGGAAATTTGTACTTCCTCAAATGTGACACCTGTGCACACTCGGCACTTAAATTTTCCGCGAAGATCCCGAAGCACTTGAGTTACTTTCCTTGTGTAAGCCAAGAGTCCTGCTGGAACAGCTGCATTCTATCTTCTAAAGCACTCTCCACGTCGGAATGCGACGATTTGCATATGTGTCTGGGCGAAAAACCACGAGAACACTAAACATCCTAAAGGTTCCCTGCAACTCCCAGAAAACGTGCATCTTAAACGCACTGAAACCCTGGAACACCCTACCGAAAAGGCACGAGGACCCAAAAGAAAACACCAGAGGCACCCCGAAGCCCAAAAGCCTGGAACCCGAAACAGCCGGCGAAGAAGCTTAAACCACATGAGCCCCAAACGCACTGAACCACCCTAGGCCCTACACCTGAAAAGGTTCAAACACCGTGAAAACCTTAAACACCAGGGAAAGCCACCAACGAGCCAAATCTATAAGCGCCATTGGGAAGAGTCAGCGACCTTAAGCCCAACAGCTCCCTAACACGTCTTGCAAAGCATCGAAAATCCTAGACACTCTACAGTCCTGAGCACTCTAAACGCCTTTAAGCCACCCCAAATCCTGTAATAGATTTAAACACCCAACACCCTGCATGCTCTGCACTGCCGGTAAAGAGCGACCAGAGCCCTGAAGCCTGCAGAGACTATGGTAGACATTAAATTAAACATGCGAAGCCGTAACAAACAACGAAAGCCTTAAACTCCAGCAGACGCAAAGGGCATGTAAACCCCCTAGCACCAAGAAGCCTGAATGCAGGACTCCCTCAGAGATCCTGGAAGCTGGAAACCAACATAGCCCCAAGCACCATAAAACCATTCAAAATGCCAGGGAGCCCCAAAACCATAACTACAAGTCGAATTAACCCTTAAACGCAGCCTTCAGCAACCCCAGAGCAGCCACAAAGAGGACAGCAAACTCTGCCCTTCTACAGGTGGAAGTTCAGTTCTTTGAAGAGACCGCTGCCCGAGCACTCTGCCACCACATCGAAAGCTTCTTGGCTAGAGTTCCAGAAGGGTTTCTTGCGCGCTTCTACCCAGGGTTTGGGGCCGTTCAGGGTCTAGGATTTTTAGAGCAGAAACAGCAGAAATACATACCAGCAGGGCGTTACACTCTCCAGAACATCTAGAACTTAGGCTTGTAGAGTTTGAAACTGGTTCTGTAAGGTTGCATTAGGAGTCAGAGTTTGGGATTTGGAGTTTACAGTCGATGGTGGGGAATTTGGGCTTTACTGTTGCTGACAGGATTAGTAGTACAAGTAGCGGAAGTAGTATCAACAGCGGAAGCAGGAGGAGTAGTAGCAGCAGCAGGGGTTTGTGGTGTTGGTGATGGTGCCTGTGGTAGTGGTGGTGGTGGTTGGGGGGAAAGATAGTCGTAGCAGCAGCAGCAGCAGCAGTTGTGGAATAGCAGTCGTCGTCTTCGTGGAGTGGCTGTGGTAGTTGTAGCTGAAGCTGAGAATCTTTGTGAAACTGGGTTTGCATCTTCTCCGCCGCTCGACCCCTGAGAGGCCATCGAGGTCTCCATGGCTTGAAGAGCGAAGAAAGCGTTGACGCCGAGTCGGCCTTTCTTTTTGGCTCTGCTGTTTCAGTTCCTGTGCGTGCAGCTCCCGCTGGAGCGATTTGACTGCGCTTAAGACTCGCTATAGGGTTCGGGGATGTTCAGGGTTTCAGGGTGTAGGATGGTTTAGGGTTCGGGTTTAGGGGATTGCTGAGCCGAACGATGGCTGCGAGAGTGCATGTGCTCAAATTGCAAACCTTCAGTCATGTTGGAGTCGTTCACGCAAGGATGGGTTGCAAGGCCCCCTTTAAAGAAGGAGTCGCAGATTCGAGCTATCCGCTTTTTCACAAGTTGTCTTTGAGAGCTTGAATCATCTCCGGAGTCGTCGTGACCCAAAACGGTTCACATGCGGAAATCTATCAACCTCTGTAAAATTTCGCCTGCAGTAAGGCTGACAGAAGACTTTCTGCACCAGATGCGTTTAATGTGGACGACGCGTGTCTTACTAGCGGTCAGGCCGGACTGCATTTCGCTGTGAACGTGCTCCAGCATTCACTGCACTCCACCAATCAAGTTGCTGTCTTGGACATGAGCATTGACCTGTGGACGCTGAAGCTGCTAGCTGATGCAACCATGAATCAATGATTGCCGGAACGCAAACAAGCACCAACCCGACTTGAAGCGCAGGATAAGGCCACTAACCCTGAGCGCCAAGAAGCTATTTCACGTTGGAGGAAACCAGGAGCTCCGTCATTGTGGGCCAAGTTCCCAAGGCCGGGGAAGCGATTGTAGGGTTGGAGGCCCGTACAGGTTTCAGGTGTAGGGTTCAGCATTGCTTGCTGCTGCTGTGTGGATGATGTAACCACGCAGTTAATTTCAGATTCCGCCAGGATTGCAGTGCCATCACTTTCCTTGAGCAGCTTCAGCTCCACAATATCTTGGACCACATCAACTTTTTCTACATGCCAGTGGACAAGGCTAAGAGGCCAGCAGCTGGCTGCAAGCTGGGCTCTCACTGAGCATGGGCGAATGTATTTTTCCCCTCAATTTTCTGACGTTGTTGCTGTTTTAGTTGCTGCTGTCGTCGTTGACGTTGTCGTTGTGGTTGTGGTGGTTGTTGTTGTTGTTGCTGCTGCTGCCGTTTCTGTTGCTGCTGCTGTTGTTGTTGTTGTTGCTGTGGCGAACCCATGGGCCCCACGAATGGGTGGACCCCCGCGGCAACCAAGCAAGCGCACTAGCAGTACCTTGTCCTTGACGGCAACAGGAGGTACACAAAAAGGTGGGCTGCCCCAGCCTTTGGCTTCGCACGTTGGGAGGCAACTCCTCAAGCCGCTTGCAGCTGGAGCCACGTTCTTTTCGACTGTGAATGGTGGAAATGTAGGCCCTTGCTGAGCCTGACTGGTTCAAAGAGGGCAGGGCCCAAGGCACGGACGGCTTCTGGAGCAGAGGGTTAGTTGAAGCACCCCTAACGTCTCCAAAACTAGCCAGATTCGGTACGAGGGTCTTTGCAGAAGGTTACACCCTTCAAGACCCTGGCCTGGTCTATGCCACAGACGCCAGCGGTGGCAAATAATGGAAAGTTGGGGTTAGCGTCCCTGCCCTCCAAGCGTGAAAGCACGGTGTTGCTGCAAGTAGGCAGCATGACTGCGCAAGTCCCAGGAAAGCAGTCTCAGACCGTTTTCAGAGGTGAGACCTTCGCTGTCGCCCTGCTCCTACAGCACACGGCGGGAGACCTGGACCTCACCTTGGATTGTGCCGGGGTCGAGAAGCGAGGCAAGGCTGCAAAGCCAGGCTGACCTTTGGCAGCTGCAAGGACGGTGGGCCACACCGCCTTCGCTGGCACTGGGTGCCCTCCCACAAAAGTAAGGAAGACTCTGCGGTGAAACAACCTCTGGCGGCGAAAGGCCCTTGCCGACCTCGCCTGCCGCAAAATTTACAGCCACCCCCGAGATCCTTGATTCCTTAGCAGAGCAGTGACACCCAGCACAAGCGCATTTTGGAACACCTCAGTGTGAGGGGTCAGGCCATGCTGCAGGCTTCTGGCCCAGCCCCCCGTGCACAAGGCCATCAGGCTCACGCCAAAGGCCCCCAAGGACGCCCAACCTCGGCAGTGCAAAAGGCGTAGAGGCTCCAACATTGGTTGGGGACACCGCCTTACTGTCACTGGGTGGTTTCAACGCCTGGTTGACAGCAGCACGGAATGCCACAGTTGATCTGGGGCAGGGCTTGATTTTATGTGCCAGGGCTGCAGGCTAAAGCTGCCCCACACGCGTGTGCCGCACCGCCCTGCGGTGCGCCAAACCCACATCCTCCTTATCAAGAACCAACGCTTGGAGTCGCAAAACCTCTATCTTGGAGAACGGCAAAATCCCCAAGGCTTTGTCCTCTGCGTGCACGGTCTCCAAAAGAATCCTGCCTGAGCAGTTCTCTTAGACATCTTCGTTGGGAAAGCCTCTGGAGTCCCTGTTTCAGGTGGCCACTTGCTGAGGTTTTACTTTCCAAAAGCCGTTCTACTGCTTAAGGGTTGAGGTTGAGCCTCAAGCGCCAGCGCCTTACGTGTCCTCGTGTGTCCCCTGCCTGGAGGTTGTTTATCCTCCAGCACCGAGCTAACCCCCCGGATCGCCATGCCGGAGAGCGTATTATCCTCGAAAAGAAGTAACCCCCTCGCGCTAAGTGACGCGGAAAGCGAGTTATCCTCTGAGATGGAGGTGTGGTTAGCCCCCGGAGCTTGAGGTGTCCAAAGGGAATAGAACCTCGGCTGCCGACGGAGGTACCTGTTTCGCAGCATGAAAAGTCCGCCCCCGAAAAAGAAGTTGTTGCTGCTGCTGCCGCTGCTACTGCTGCTCTGCCAATGTACCTATGTACGTATGTACGTATGTATGTATGCAT